TAATATATTCCTAACAGTTTCATCTCAAAGTAATCTTCAGTACATGTGAGTCCAGTTTCTGCTCTAGTTCTGTATGTGTTTATTTGTTCTCTTGCATTAATAGGAAATAGAGATGTTTTCTTGCAATCTGGGTATGATCTCTCTTTAAGCTGTTATCTTCACAACAGATAATAGCCATCTCTAAAAAACCAACATGGTATGTTAAAAAGTATGTTTAACAAAGAATTGCTTTTATTTTTCTCCAAAGAATTTTATTAAAACTTCTGTATGTTTAATTGTTGCTGGTATGGCTGTTATAGTTGTGTTAAATAGGCAGTTAACTGGTATTTTATGAACCTCATCAATGTCAGAAAAATATACTCTCCTATTTATAGACTGATTATTATTTGTTAGAGATACAAAAAATGACATTTATTTTAGACAAATTTACACAATCTAGTTAACAGTAATATATTTTTTTAAGTTATGTGAACACTATTATGTCAAATGTTCACAGAAATGCTATTTTATATTTAAAATATTTCAAGTTTATTCCTTGGCAATATAAAATTTAGCAAGATATTTACCCATCATTTACAAAATGACTTAGCTTTTCTAACATGTTCATTCAGCATTTTTAGTGATTTAAAATGTTGAACAAACAAGTTAGTTATAATTACATTACTACTATAATAGGCATATAATTACATGAGATATTATATCTCAGTGAGCATTTTCCTATGTCAATGTTTATAACAATAAATACATCTTTGGGAATCAAAATAAATGTGTACTGTATCAGAGATTTTATTTCTCTTGTGGGTATATTAAAACTTTCATTTTATTTGCAAGTTTATCTGATGGTTAAATGATTTGAAGTGTGAGATAATGCTAGTTAGCTCTAATGAAAATTGTCCACTCCTCAAGGTAATATTTAATTTTCTTTGTACATTGGGTCATTTATGAATATGTACAGTAGGTGGATTTAAACCAAGAGAGATAGATATGTACACTGCTGTAAGAATAATCCACTAGTTTTGTAATTTAAGGGGGTGGCAGTTTGAAGAGAAGCCACACACACATAAATACCTCTTCTTACACTTTCTCTTTCCTTTAAGTTTGGATGCCTGATTTGCTCATAAGTATGGCCATTTTTTAATAAAGCCTCTTAAAACAGACATAATGGGGAGGACCAGCAGAATAATAACACATCAGTTCCCACTGGTGTTTTAGTATGGATTGGTGGCTCAGATTAGCCACCTGCCAATTGATGAACTTTTTGGAAAGGGGTGAAGGCAATGTGGAGAGCATCTGTACAGGCCAAAGTTCAGGCATCAGAGTCGAGGGCCCTAGGAAGTCAAGGAAATAGCCTGAAGACGAGGGCCATTAATGATGTGTTAGTGCAAGGAGGGCTTGACACCAAGAGTGAACTTCCTCTGTTTCATATTTTGAATCCAGGTGTTAAAATCATGGGACTTGCCCAGACTTAGGCTAAAATAAGTGTTTGTTGAGTTTGTACATATCCAGAAACATCATATCTATAGATTAGATAAGAATATTGCAAAAAAAAACCTACTATGGTTACCATATATTCTTTTTTTTAATTTTTTTAAAAATTTATTTGTTATTTTAGACAGAGGCGAAGGTAGGGAGAAAGAGAGGGAGAGAAACATTAATGTGTGGTTGCCTCTTGGGTGCCCCCTACTGGGAACCTAGTCTGCAACCCAGGCATGTGCCCTGACTAGGAATCAAACCGATGGCCCTTTGGTTTGCCTTATATTCTTTTACTAGCCTGAGTAGTAATTCTACTACCTTCATTTAACAAATAGTTGGTTGAGACATGTGTTAATGAATGAATCTCAAGTGACATATTTAATCATCAACTATGGGGAACTAAAATAAAAGCTTAATATGCAAATCAAGAGAAAGATTGAATAAGGGAAAATTTTAAATGGAATTATTTGAATAATCATGTGGTTATATTGAGTCCTCATTAAATAATTTTATAGTGTAAATTATGTATGAAATGTATATTTAGATCATACACACATATATACAGGCATATATTCAAAAATATAAAAGCAATTCTGTATTTTTCTACTTATTTTCTAATGGAACAGGGTTAATATTTCAGGGTTATATATATATAGAGAGAGAAGCACATATTCATTGTATGTAATTTCTATGCTCCTGTGCCAATCTGGATTTCATTATATATAAAAACTCCATTTATGCTTAAAATATTGATTGTGAAGTGGTCTCAGAAACCCAGCATTTTTTGACTCAAAAATCACCCGGCAAATGCAGGTGATGACTAAGAAAGAGGAAATGAATTCAGTATTGATGTTCATATGCATTGAACTGACTTCCAAGGATGTGCAGTCGGACTATCTGGGGGACATTACATAAATGAAAAACATCATCCCCGCTCTGATACTTTGTACCTTGTGATTTCTTGGTAAAGCACATAAATTCTGAGCTCCCATTGCCTTGCCTCATGAGCAAACTGGATACCAATGAGGATGGTTTCTCATGAAAATTAAACATCATAATCCTGTAAACGTACCAGTGAAGATGCTTAGCCCAAGCAACGGTCTCACTGTGCATTAACTTGCATCTGAATCTGACCCCTATGCTTCATCAGCTTCCCCCCAACTCCATCTATTTGGAGGGATAAAATATGGGGACCTAGAAAAACACAGAGGAACAAAATAAAACTGTAGTGTGTGAAATTGCATTTTTTTGGTAAGAAGCTGAAAGCATTTTAGAAAATTGGAAAAGACACGGTTTTTGTGTCTTAGTGAGGAATGTGTCCTAAAGGAAACAGGATGTGATTATATTTTCAAAATGGAAAAGATTTAGTTGTGAAGTGGTGGATAACAACAAAAGCAAGATCTAGAATTGTAATATTTTTCACTTTCTTGCTAGATCAGAAGTTCTTAATATTTCTGGAAATCACAGGTGAAAGTACAGATCACCTAAGGGGTAGGAAGTGGGGAAAAGAAGAATTATGACATACAAAATTTTACATACAGTTTCAGAGGTTTCACTGCAATCATTCTCCCTAACCTTCACTCATGGAAATAATCCTTATGACCCTAGACACTAGATTCAAAATCAATATAAACTTCTATTGCCAAACATCTGTCAGAATCCCAGACCATGCACAACACAAGGTACCTATTAGCTGCTCAATGAATACTATGGACCCAAATTAAATTATTTATCCTGATGTTTTAGATCTATCATTTCTGTCTCACTTGAAGGTTGTTTTCTCAGCTCTCCCTCTGTCTACATTAACCCATCTTTGTGGACAAATGCAGTTCTTGCACAACCTGAGGCCTTCCACAAATACTCCCAAATCCTGGTATTATTTTACCTGGCACCATCATGAGAAATCCCATGAGGTCATTTCTCTTGAATTACAGTCAAAAGAAACAAAATCAAAACCAGACTTTAAATATATTGTATTTGATTTCTGAGGTAACTCCAAAATGTTAATATTATTCTTGACTTCTGCTTCAATATAATTGTTGATTTCATTTTGGGTATTTTTTCATACTATAGATGTTATAGGCTGACAGTAATGCATGGATTTGAAGAAAACTCTCCTATCTGAGAATGTAAAGAATAATGAAAGGAGAGAAAGAACTCTCCTTTCTAATTCTAGAAAGAATTAGAATCTTCATCTGAAACTGAACAACCTACCATAAAATCTAAATATCAGTGTTTATGGAGGTTATGTTGTTATTAATGTTGTTTTCCATGCTGTGTCTTTAGTAGAAAAATTGTCACAGTTCAGGGTATTTTCTGTGAATTGGTGGCTGGCCTCAGTTGATTGCCTTGGCTTCACTTCAGTCCAACACTCCAGAATGTTTCCCATGCCTCCATCTTATTAGTAAATGTACTCCTTTGTGCATTTGTGTGGATCTTTCAGAAATAGTGATCTTCTTCCTAGAAAATATGACCAGCGACTGGTCATATTTTAATAGTTTGGAGAGGAAGTTTGCACAATTAAAAAAATAGAGAGAAACCCTTGTACAACTATCCTATTAACCTCATTATTTGGGCATCATTCTTTTTCATTATCACACTAATAACACCTGATATAGTGATCATATAAGCAATCTTATAGCTCAATTTTAGTACATAGGTAATAGTAAGAGGAAGATCTCACAGTGTAAAGATCTCAGTGTAATGAATATGACTAGTGATGGATTTTACCTAAAGAGAAGTAGAAAATATGTATTGTGGCATGTTGATTATGCATAGTGAAAAATTCTACAACCATGAATTCTTACTAAGGATGGCTGTATAGTAATTTTCATTAGGATCATTAGAATCAAGAGTTTTATTTGGCTAATTTTTGGTGATTTATTGGGAATGGGTGGTATTACTTGAAAGTAAAGAGTAAACTCAATAAACTCTTATGGCTGCTTATTATGATTTAGTTATATTTATAATTTTAAGGAGAATTTTGCAGTTATATTTTTATACCTGATAAGATCAAAAGATTGAGAAGGTAAGTCAGTAGTAATGACTAGAATTTACTTCATGTAAGGTAAAGTTCATAATATGCTAGATTATATTGCCTCAGAGACAAATTAATCTTTAATAATGTTTTTATTTCTCCTTTTCCAAAAGTTTTTAAATTATATAAACAATGAGATCATTTAATACAATACATACAATATGCAGTATGCCCAAGTGCCAAAAGAAAGTCTGTTTCATTCAATATCTAATTTATATAGCCCCATCCCTATCAAAGACCCAGATTTGTGAGTATTAAAAAGAAAAAGAAAAAAGCTACAGAGACAAAACTTTATACTCACTCTCCTGTCTTCACATAATGCACTCTTAGCTGGGTTGGCTAAACTCCATCAGGGAGCAACTGCTACATTCAGTTTCAATTATTTAACTGTCTAAAATATTAGATTTATCTCACCCATATCTTAACTCAGTTTAATGAAAGTATTGATTCTATTTTAATTGTTTGTCCTCTTTGTGTTTTATTTCTTCAGATTTTTTTTTCCATCTGCATTGCTTTCTGGGGAGTAAGAAGCATGAAGCAACTTGCTGCTGGCCTTTAAAAATAATCTAAGTTTGTACACAATTCTCTTGTTTTAATCAGTTGTCTATCACCATAATATATAACTATTGGCTATAAAAATAAGTGTTTTATATAATAACTATATGAACCATTTATTTACTGGAAGGTAACACACTTATTAACTGTTGCTTGCTTTCTACATTTATTGTTTTCTCTTAAAGTCAGTTGCAGTTACTTTCTTGATAGGGTTGAAAAGAAATGATTTCTTATGTAATGATGTTATAGCCACTTTTGTATCTAAGCCAATGAGAACAAGAAAAGGAAGGCAGAAAACAAAAATAGCAAAAAGAATGAATATGTCATTTGCATTGATTTGACAGCTTTTCCTTTGCTGTTTGCTAAAAGTGTTTGTGTTACATGCTGTTGGGTGGGCTCCACCTTCTGGCGACCCTGAGAATGAGTGATGTCCACACTGTCCTGTCCTCCACATCCCTGCTTAGCCCCTGTAGCTTCAGGCCTGTGGCTTCTTTTAAGCAGTCAATCCATCTAATATTCAAGCTTCCCCTTTTCCTGCTGTCTTATGTTTTTTCCCAGCACTACTGTCTTTTCCAAAGAATTCTGCCTCTTCATCATTTACCCAAAGTAGAACAACTTCACTATTCTTATTTTTGCCTCCAACGGTGTTTCAGACTTCATTTGCTCTAGAACCCACTGGTTCCTGTTTCTGTTGGTCCAGGGCATCTGTAGAGCTCCCCTCTGACACCAAGATCCAAATGAATCAGTTCTTTTTTTCTATCAGCCTTCTTCACTATCCAACTGTTGCATCCATTCATGGTAATCGGGGTTTTGAGGGAGTGAATGATCTCAGCCTTGATCTCTAATGCCACATCTTTCCTCTCGATGATCTTTCCTAATTCTCCCACTGCTTCCCTTCCATGTCTCTCTTGATTCCTTGGCTGCAGCCTCCATTTGAATTGATAATGAACCAAGGTAAGAAAAATGTTTAACAATTTCAGCGTCTTCATTGTTGCATATTTCTTCTGTAGTCATGGATTTTGTCTTCATAATGTTCAAATAGAATCCTGCTTTAGCACTTTCTTTTTCACTTGCATCAGCAGTCATTTCAAATCATTGCAACTTTCTGTCAATAAGATGGTGTTTATTGATATTTATTCCATCAATTTTTACGCCTCATTCCTCTGAGTATAGCCCAGTTTTACATGTGATGATACAATCTGTGTACCAATTAAACAAATAGGGAAATAAAATACATCCTTCTCTGACACCTTTGCTATAGGAAACGGTTCTGCTAAAATTGTGCTTAGGTGCGTATTTGTCATCATAAAAATGTTTAGAAGAGTTGTCTGCCTAGAATTATATTTACCTTAAAAAACCACATAACCTAAGGGTTTACATTACAGAAAAGACATCAATGAAATGAAAATGAATAGAATTTGTCAGAATTAATTTACTCAACAGATTAATTTGTGATACGTACGTCTAATGTGTTTAGTTAATTTGTTTTGGTAGATTGAAGAGCAGGCAGTAATTCTGTGTTATATTAAATTGTCACAATAACGTTAATAAAACTCTCTAAATAAAATTGCCCCGGGTGTTGTGTGTATGCTATTTATTGGTAGTGTAAAAATCTGTCTGTAATTCATTAAGAGGGAATTGACAGGGATAACTGGGTAGGTTCAAAGAGCAGAAGACTGAAAACCATCAGAATTTTTGTTCTTCCACTGCTCCAATATTTCTTAGATTTACAGTTACAATTTAAGTAATCAGAGTTATAAGCACCAAGATAATTAATGCTGTCCTTCACTGATATTCATCATTGGGTTAAAGACACTGATCAGGCTGTTAACCTCATTTTAAAAATATGTCATTTAAGCTTTGAACAAAGTAAGATGAATTATTAAAAGAATCATACTGCAGGCATGTATGTGGATTCATGAGGCAGGATTGAAGCACTTTCATTTTTCAAACTGGAAAAGGAAAGGAAGATTAAATTTTGCATAATGAAAAATAAGTTATATCTCAAGTGTCAGAAGGGACTTGACTTTGCCTCATTCATCCTGTTATACATAATTTAACACAGACCACAGCAGATACATAAGCCCATAACAAATATTAAACCCTACTGTTGACCATTCCCAGCAGTTCTTGCTGGACTTGGCATGCGCAGAACCATGTTAAAGCAGGGAGCCCTCTGCTGGCTGGGAACTGCTAAATTTCTAGCTTAAAACTCCTGAGTACGCATATACTTCTGCATTGTAAGGACTCCAGTCTGTAGCTTACTTCTTTCAGACATGGCAAAGAGAAGAGAGGTTTCACAAATCTTTAAAGTAGCTTTTTTAGTGTGTCAGAATAGTTTGTTTCCCCATGAGACATATATATTTTAATTTCTATCATATTTTTCATTACCATGTAACCCCCTTGAGGCATGCATATGTATATATTCTTGAGTATATGTGATTGTATAGGAGTGGTCTCAAACCGAGTTTAATAATGGAAGTAAAGAATTCAAAAATCGCAAAGGATACTTTTATAGTGAAGTTCAGTTTTCTCCAAGCTGAGATTTACTCAGTCCTCTCTCTCTCTCTCAGATACCCTTGCTGGTGAGAAATGATTTTCTTTTAGAAACACAGACATTTTCTAGCTACAGATTTCCAGGCCTTTGAAAGTGGAAGTGATTCCCAGATAGTTGTGTTCCAAGGTCTGTGTGTGTTAACCGGGGCATTTTATTTTCACCTTCAACCTTGCTAATTTCCCAGTCCAGTTTTCTCTTGCCAAGCACTAATATATGATGACAGATCATATAGCTATTATTAATGTTGCAAATTGATCTTGAATGATGCCATCTAACTTATGCTTACACTTGACTGGAAGCAGTTTAACTCTCTTATTCTCTCAAGAGGAAAAGCACTGAAATTAGGACTCATGAATTACTCACCACTTCTAATGGAGCTATGCAAACTGACTAAAAATAATTATGAAGATTCTCAGGTTTGCCAATCTACGGTAAAGAGGGATAGAGAGAAGGAGGCACATTGGTTTATTGAGTAGTACTCAATTAGCATTATTTCATTTAGTCTCTAAAATCCAGGGGATTGAGTGCGGTTAATATCATTTTACAGAAGAGAATTCTGAGGCTGAGAGAAATTTCAAAACTTGCTCAGGCCAATGATGTAACACTGATGGCCAAAAGAAAATTTAAAACCTCTGACGTTCAGCCCTAACTGGTGTGGCTCAGTGGACTGAGCACAGTCCTACAAACCAAAGGGTCTCCAGTTCGATTCCCATTCAGAACACAAGCCTCAGTTGTGGGCCAGGTCCCCAGTAGTGGGCCAGGGCCCCAGTAGCGGGCAGGCATGCACGAGGCAACTGCACATTGATGTTTCCCTCTACTTCTCCCTCCTTTCCCCTCTCTAAAAAAGTATATACATAAAATCTTTAAAACCTCTGATGATCAACATCAAAGTCCGTAATGTTTCTCCATTCCATGATGGCAGGTATCCAAGGAAAATCTTTAAAAGCATTGGTTCAGGAGCTTAAGGTAAGAGTATTTCTTATTCAATTTGTCATTTCAAGGTACAAAATAAAGTTCAGAGGATAAGTGCTTTTGTTATAGGATGAATTAATTCACCAGGTGAATGAGTACCAAACTTCCAATCTCTCTAAGGCTCTAGGTTTGTTTACCGAAATGTCACATGTCTGACAGAACATGTTCCTGTACTAGAGTTGATTTGTTAGAATTTCCCATTACTTGGACTTTATTTATTATGTTGTTTACTTCCTCTTCATCTTGTTCTTTCCAATTATTTTTGTTAAATATAATATAATCATCTCATCACTGTGATACTCAGCAATGTGTGGATCTATGATTGTGTAAGTGAAGTTCAATCAATCACCAAAGTATATGAACCTTTGTAAAATTTAGGATTACCAGCTTGAATGATTGCTTCTTAGATGTTCTCAAATGTCATTTCACTGGTAATATATAATTTATTCTTTCAGTGGAATTTGCAGTCGAACCATTGAGTGGGATTCTTTCAGATATAATATAGATTATGGTGGGCAGTCACGTGTTTTATCAGGGAGAGAATGAGCTCTATTTTTATGCCTCTCCTCTACTTTTTCATATTTGTAGCTTCCAGATTCCCAAAGAGACATTGAAACCACAGGGACAAGTTTGGCTTTCAGCATCTTAAAACCTTTCTGATGTCATGACTTCCAGCAGCGCTATGGAAGTAGGCCAGGCTCCATTTTCAGTCAGCCTCAGTGAAAAAACATTAACAGAAAATATTCTATCTACTGTTAAATTGTTTTTTCAAATCTCCCTCCAGTCTGCCACCCTTTCTTCCCAACAGCATAACAAATCAAATTCCTCCCTCCCCAAAGAGTCAATTAGGAAACATTATTAGTAAATAAGCAAGCATTGCTGGTTTTCTCTGGTGGGTATGTCTTTTTTTTTTTTTTAATTCCCAAACTTGAACATCTCTTTAGTCAGAATTTCCTACTGGCCCAGATACTACACTATCCAGAAACCATAAATTCATTTTTTTGGATTTGTTTTTCCTTTGTGTTAGGTGCAATACATCCAAAATTCTAACTTGACTATTTACATTACAGAAAACAGAAAAAAACAGATTTTGTCTTCATGCCTGTCTTTATGGATTACCTGTTAATCTTTATTTAAAAATAGAAATTCCTGGTAGGAACATCAGAATTCTGACTTAATAAGAACATAAGCCTCAAAACCCAGTCTGGGCATGGTTTGTCTATGGTTCTTCATAAAAAGAGTGCGCACTGGACTAAATCATGTCTATGGTTCCTTGGAACTCTGACCTTCCAATGAGAAGTCTGTATAAATTATTTCTGTATCTTAAAGTAATATAACTATATTTGTTTTAAAATTGTGATCAAATTTGGACTTGAATCTATAATAAATTAATGAGGTTGTATTTCAGAACATGTTCATTGGAATCAAGTCAATGGGGACAACCTTGGAAAGAAGATAGAGAACACTGAAGGTAGAGTACAAAAAATAAAATCTTCATTTAAGAATCCTACAACAATTTACAAAATCTAATTCTTATTTTTAAACATTCTCCCCTTTTTAGTGCTTATTATCTCTTCTTTGAGGCTCTATATTTTATTTTATTGTTTCCATCTCTTCGCCATCACTTATGTTTTATACTACAGTTAAGTTAAATCAATTTTATATTGAAGCATCGTCTACCTTACCTTCTGTGTGCTTATAATAGCCACCACATTTTGATTTACTAGTTGATACATTATGTCTTCAGCCTTCTTTTCACTCTTTTGGAGTGAAAAATCTCAGGTAGTTCCTTAATGAATATTTCCTCTTAAATGAAAAACAAGCCAACAGCTGTTCACTGCATTTATAGCCCTTGGAAACCGTGAGTATGGAGACTACAGAAACAACTCAGGAAATGCAGGTCATCAGATACATGTGAGTGTGGTCAGCTCTGTGGAACAGCAGAGACAGTCCCAGAACACAAAAGAAAATTGCTTATTGTATCAGGAAAACATTTGGGTTTTAAATGTATTATTAAATGTGAATGGTAAACAACATTTGTTTAAGGACCTATTATAGGGTGGTTGTTTTTTCCCCCAGAAATGCAACCTATCAGCTTAGAAAATGCATTAAGAAATAGATTTTGCTGTCCTTACCTCTCTGTACTGAAATATATGAGAGGCAATGATCAAATATAAAAGTTAGCTTTATTTGAGTATTTTGATAATTGAAATACATGACCTCAATGCTGTATCCTCTGTATCCCCTGGAGACCCCAGAGTGGTGTGGAAGGTGGGGAAGCATAGCAGATGCTGATGATGGTGGAGAGGTTGCCCTTTAACATTTCATTGCCTGACAAATTCAGCCAGCCCTGACTGCAGCACAAAGCTGGGCTTTCTTTTAGCTATCTCATAGAATAGAGGCTTTAGAAATTTTACAAAATGAGAACTTATTTTCATACATCACTGGAAATCAGAATATGAATCCCAAAGAAATGTCAAAGTTAGTTGACATCTTTTCTCTTTCAGGAAGTCTAATAAACCCTTATTTGTAAATCCCTTTAAAAATAAAGGTCAATTTCCTCATGGCAGTTCTTACCGCTCCCAGAATTCTTTGGAGACTTTCTGGTGGTTCACTGTTGTTTTCTCCAATACTCCTCTTGCCAAAATTTAGTAATTCAATATCCACATAAGTGATCATCTAGTATCCTGGCATCTCAGTTCCTTGTTTGCCTTGCCCCAGTGAGTGTGTTATCCCTTTACATGAATGGTGCTGTCATTACTAAATGACTGCAATTCTGCCATGGTCCCAACTCAAAATATCCTAGTGTCTTACCACTTTACCCACTGTTTCCAGCCCATGACCTTTGGCAGTCCACTACCACCATTTGCCCCTCTGAGACATTTGCACAACCTTTCCATTGTCTTTCTCTTCCTCATGTATTTACTTACTGTCTTAGATGTTTGAATTTTGTGGTCAATTATTGTAATAGCTCTTTGGGTCTTCTCGAGTCACAAAAAGGATGAAATCCAACTGTAGGTATCCTCTCTGTGTGCACT